TCGAAAAAAAAAATGCTATTTTGTTCACTTTCCGACATAAATAATTGTCAATCTCGATAGATGAATGTCAATTTGCTCAATTACTGACATTAGCCAATGTAATGGCTATTGTACTGAATGGAATTGTACTGATTGTGACACGTTGAAGCTCGCAACAAATAGTAGCTTGCAAGCAAAACGAGTAAACGAGCTCGAGAAGGTAGCGGGCGACGGATTTTGAAACTTTTCGAACATTAGTTATCTTTTTTCATGCCAACCAAGTACATTTTACGAGCTCTCTTAAATTTAAACATTTTAAGGTAGAAAAATGCTGAAAGAAAAAACCGAAAACTGGAAACGATGTTTCACTAAGCTTGAGTGTAAATACATCTAAGTTTTTTTTGAATGTCCATGCAATTTTGTATGTCAACTACGACTCATTTATTTAGATTAAAAGTTTAACAAGACTGCTCGTATGATCCGACTGCCGACTGCCTTTTAAGGTCTATGGAGCAGCAATAACTTGAAAAATTTGAATGTAATGAAATAATATTGAAATTTTTTTAAAGTATTTTTTTTGTGAAAAATCCCCCCACACGCCATATTAAGTACAAAGTGGTTATTACGCCATATCCCTCCACACGCCATATTAAGTACTAAGTACATATTAGATTTAGCTCCTATTACCAAATCAATTGTGACATATAAGCTTTTGGAACCAATTTGGAACGTTTTCTAAGACGGATTAAATCTCTCGCGTTAATTGTCCCAAATTGGCCGAAATGACAATCTTTAAACCCCCATAACTTTGCAAAAAATGATCACAGGCGGAATATTTTTTCAAATTTAAGCTCCGGGCAACAATACTTTTCAAATGATTTAAAGGTTTTTTTAAAAAAAAATAAAGGTTTTTTTATAATTCTTGTTTGAGGTAGCCCCTCTCCAGTATTGCCCCCTTAGGATGAGATTACGACCCTGCTGCTATCTAAAAAGTTAAGAAAATTTCCTGCAGAAAATTAAGAAACTGAGGTTGCAACTTCTAAAAAAAAAAACTTTTTTTTCCTCAGGTTTTCTTCTCTGTTCAGAGACTGCACGGCTTATTAGATGGGCTTATTGTAATTTGTGCCGCATTTGAAAAAAAAATTCCGAAAACTGTTTGGCATACAATTCTCAGAAATGATTAATTTTTAGCCATACAATTTTCATTTATGGCCAAAATGTTAGTCATACAATTTCCATTTATGGGAAAATGTTTTTTATAGAGATTTCATACAATTTTCTGTAAGTATGGAATTGTATGGAATTGTATGACAAGAAATTTCCCGTTTGTGAGAATTATATGATAAGCATTTTTGGTCAACCCGGATAGTTAAAAAGTGGAAATTTGTCTGAAGAAAAAAAAACCCACCCGAGCACAAATATTCATTTACTTTGGTAACGAATACTTAATGACGCAATAAGACAACCGAAACAAAAACAACACAATTTAAGTCAAATATTGCATCAGAAGAGAATCACAATATACTGGATGGGCTGCAAGCCTGCCAGCAGAGGGTAGGAATTTATGCAAAAGTTAGTACAGTACAACCTTTATCGTCGGAAAATTTCAACCAAAATTATTAAATTATGAACTAATTTTTAAACTTTGCGTGTTGTCGTTTTCCTAAATTTTGTTTTCTTCAAATGACGTTTTTCTTAAATGTTTTTCGATACAAGTTGTTTTTGGTCGCGGCAACAATTTATGAATATCGAAAATAGTAATTAGGAGTGATGATAAATATGTAAATCGAATTACAAATATCATTTTAACCTGGAAGTTATTTAGTACTATGGAGCTCAAACTTTAATCAAATTTGGCGCAAATTATGAATATTCCAAAAATTCTTTTACAAATTCATATTTTTTTCTCTGATCATAATTTTTTTTGCAATAAGAAATTAATTATGTCGAAAGACTGTTCGTTTTTTTTTTTCCGAACAGTAAAAAAAACAGAGTTCGCCATGTTCTTTTTCAAAACTGGAAAAAAATCCCGTCAACCGTTCACAAAATATACACAACAATTCTTTGTATATTTCTTTGTTTCGGCAAAATCAGCTCTCTTTTTTAAAATTTCAGCTACCTTGAATGATAAGCAACTTTTGATTCACTTATGACTGATAAGTATGTTTCAATGAATTTGATAGAAATTACGTAAATATGATTAGATAATTCCAAATCAAAACAAAACAACTTGAGAAGATTGAAAAAGCGCATAGAATATGGCCATCAAGACTCGCAACTAATTGAAAACCACTTCAGCTTAATCTTGACCTTTTTGAGTAGTGCAGACATCAAGATTGATCCAAGTTCGCTAGAGTATAATTATTTTGTTTCTGCATCATGCCTTAAAATGACTTATTTTATAAAGTATTTAACAAATTCGACATAATTTGAGAGTAAGTTTTGTTTTCTGTGGCGCTGACATCAACAAAATATGAACAGAACAACATTTAAGATTACGACAAATTTTGTCAAGAATGGTTAAAATTTTCGTCTCGGACGTACAACTGTCACTGATTATAAAATCAGGGTTCCACCAACGATTGTTGTTATCAACATAAGTGTAAATGATATCTATGCATAATAATGTATAGAAAAATACACAGAAGCCTCTCCTTTGGTTTCATTTTACAAAATTGACTATGGTAACGACAATTTTTTTTTCTACAGCCGGCAGATCCTCGCCAAAATTCATTACTACATGAATTCGAGGGCGAGTTGATGGTAAAAAACTCATCAACATTTTCTTGTCAAACATAGTTCAAGAAACTTCAACATTAGAATAGCTGCTTTTTTGCTGAAAAAAATTATTGCATGCATTAGAGATTTACAGAATGGTTCTCTTCGCGCGGTATCTTAAAAAATGAGAACATCCTGTACACTTGAACATCCTGTACACTTCAGATTAGAGTTTCAAGCCGGGAAAAAGCCCCAAAGTGCAGGTCAAATCAATTCAAATGTGTATTCTTACCGCATTGATACGGTGTTTTAGAGGAAAACTCTATTCTGATGACCTTTACAAGATACAGGGCTGATTTATTTTACCGGGACAAAACGAATAAAACTTGGAATTCAAAACGCGTTTTTTTCAAAATGGATTGCATTTAGACTAAAAATTGAAGACAAAGATTACATAGACTTTCAGCAGAAATTTGATATAGGGCAAAATATTGTGCGAAGTTGGGTTCCAAAAAGCCAATAACTACCATTTTTAACCCTAAAAACTACCAACTTAACCACATAAATTACCCCTACTACTTTTTAGTCAATCAAAACTTACACCAAAACTATTGGTTCAAACTGACGAAAAAAATCAAGGCGGTCCTTTTATATAGCCCAACAAAATTTGAGGAAGGCTAAGTAAGTCATCACATTTTTGTCTAATTATATTTACTTTTTTTTGAATAATAGCAAAAAAATCAATTTTATTTTATAAAAAAACCATTTGTTTTATTAAAAAAAAAACAATTTTTAGACGTTTTTCCATCTTTTGGAGATTATAAACTTTAGACATTTGGCGCCCGAAATTCGTAAGAAAATTCAGCTGAAATTCGACGTAAGTTTTGTCTTCAATTTTTTTTCTAAAGTCAATCCATTTTGAGAAAAACGCGTTTCAAACACTAAGTTTCATTCGTTTTTCTGGATAATTTGAATCAGCACCATTTGAAAATTTGCCAACTGAAAAGATAACTTGCGAAGAGAAGTCCGTCAGTCTGTAAAGCTCAAACGTGTGTTTGGAGTTTGTTCAACGCAAAAAGCATATAATGCAAAAAAAAACATAAACAGAAAGAGTACAGCAAAAAACGTACAGCAAAAGAATTAGTGAGAAATAGAAAAAAAAAATTAGAAACACCTGACGTTTTATCAATTTTTTGAAATTTGCCCGACGTAATTTAGACAATTTAAAGGTCGCAAAAAAGTTTGGGTTTTCATTTGCAAAGAGGCTTTAATGCTTCTCTATAAAACTATTGTAAGGTTAGCTTAAAGTTCGACAACTATTACGGATTTTGAGGCATTTGAGCATCGGTTTGTTTCCATAGGAAATAAGTTTGAAATAATTAGATAGTTTAAAGTAATAAAATAAAACAGAAGATAGAATTGACAGCTTCCGGAGGCGTCTTTAGGAAATTTAGGCTCCTGTTCTCATGAGAAGGACTAAATGAACGCAATCCGAGGAAATATTTAAAAAATATGACTTTATTTGGATACTTGAGGACTATCAACAGGAGGCATCTGATCACTAGGATGCGTGCTAGAAATTTTACCGGCTCTGATGGCATCGCGCGCTCGTGTAAGCTCAAAACGGCGTTAGGTGGTTTAACAAGACCAGCGGTAAAACTTGCACGAGTATCTCCTAAAGATTTGATTGATATAAAACTAACCTCAATAAAAGCGTGATAAGGGCTGGGCTTGTCATCCTCCCCTGTGGCATGAAAGCATGAAGGTCCCACCGTGGATGTTGATGATTATCAACTTCTGCCGTCATATCAATTTTTATTTTAACTTAAGCGCGGTAAATTGTCTCAAATACTTGATATATGTGAAAAATTTGTGATTTTGACACAGCCAGACTAAGTTGGGAAGAAAGCATTGAAATTAAAACTTTCATCAACTGTAAAATGAATCTTGATATATTGATCGACCAAGCTCGACATCAATAACCACTTTAAAAAAATACGTTTTAAACACTGAACCCCGCCCTGGTGTAAGCCGTTCGGTTGATTTTTCATCTAGTGATGCTAATGATTGCTTTCACATCTATTTCTTGACTGCTAATGGCTCATGTAAGACTTAGACTTCTTAGCGAAGATATTTTATTATTGACAAAAATATTTTCTATTTTTCTGCAAACTTTACATCCAAAACTCATATGCAAATACTTATCTGAGAAACACTAATTAAAAAAATAATTGGAGCAATTATTGTAGATTGAACAATTATATTAACATTATGAAGAATTCTGCAAAATAAATACGGCAGTTTGTAACTTTTTTCAGCACAATCAAGTTCCAATAATACACTATTTGAGTCCTTAAATTGTGTGATATATAAGATTATGGAAAATTTAGACTAAGGCGCTCGGCCTAATCATATAGCTGCATTAAAATTTGTATTCTGTCAAATTTTTGCATCGTCTTTTTGATGAGATGGTCTCAAATAATGTCGAACTCATTCAATTTTTTTTCGGAACAAAATTTGGAACCAAATAGGCTTGTTCACTGAATTATCATGGACAATAATCGATTATTTTATTTAACAACTTTGCATAAAACTTCATACCTCAACCCAAAAGACATCGATTCCTTTGTGAATAGAAAAAATCCAAAACATTAAAAAAAAACACATTTTGAACTGAATTCTAAACCCATTCAAGGGCAAAAAGAATATTCTTATTAGAAGCGATGACAGGAGTAGCCTTGCTTTCAATTTTAACATATTGGCATATGCATTTCATCCGTTTAAATCAGATATATAATTTGTGTTTTTGAAATTAATTGGCTCTCTCCTTTTGCAGAGATTGATCGAAACCTCAAAATCATCAAATGGCAGTCTATTCATTAGTTGAGCAACTCGACACAGGAAATTCATTTTCTAATACAGCAGATGGGTTCGTTTATGCAACCTTGGGGATTTTTCAGGGATCAGATTCCAATTTCGTGCAGGCAGGAAAAATTTGTTTAGCTTCCAATATTTTAAAGTTTGCCAACTTGAAAACCAGTTGATATGTTGAACGCTAGGCGCCGGTGGAAACCATTTTATTTGAAAGCTCAAAAGATGTAGACGGAACATACGGCGCTTTATCTTCGAGGCATCGATCCCCGTCGCCATCCGGTACAGTCGCTGGATTATTTCCTTGCGCAGTCGAGTCCGACAGGTCTCGAATCAGCATGAATTTTTTTGTGAATCCGCTGTAGAGAATGGGATTCAAACAGCTGTTGACATATGTCAGAATTTGGAACACAACTGTCATGTAGATGACAGATAGTTGGTGGTTCTTCAGAAAGTGGAATTCGTTTACCATCTGGATCATGTAGAAGGGTCCGTACGAGACGATAAAGCTGAGAACGATCAGACCCAGCACCAAACTGAGTCGATTTTGATTGATGTGGCACAAAGCGCTTCTCGGATTCCTAAAATGGAGCACACACTCGCTAATTGAAGACTATCATCGTTACTAGGTACAAACTTCCGTGTCTGCACAAACAGGGGCGGATCTAGGATTTTCTCGAGGGGGAGGGAAGGGGCAGACCTTTTTTGACGTCGACCAAATTCATTTTCCGAACGCTCCCGGATCACCATAGAAACCCTATTTTGACCAAAAATTTTCCTCCGTTTTTGGGCAATTTTTCGAAAATTTGGGCCAAAAAAAATTCAGTTTTTTGACGCGCGCTCCCGTTCACTATTATTATGTATTGCCGGAAAATCCTCCTTTAGAAAAAGTTTAGGGTTGTTCGGCCGAAAATGGATGTTATAAAATAATACCAAAAGGGGATAAAATCTCTCAAAAATTGTTTCCAAACTCAAAATCAAGCTCTTAATTCTCGTAAAGTGGTGTAATTTGATTTCAGTTCTGTACCAAAACTTTCAGGAGCGCAGATAGCAGAAGAGATGATATGAAACTCTCTGTCAAACAAAAAACTGATATGGTCACACTTTATTAGTTTTTTTTATGCTTCGAGTTTTTTACGGCTTTGAGTTAAAGCTTTTTCTTACAAAATTGCAAATTGTTGATCCGTTGGATTGGCTTTCAACTCTGCCTCCTATCAGCCTGAAAAGTCTGATTCGCGTACCAAGATAGCTTTTATAGAGCAATTAGCATGAATTGCAAGAATTGCAATGTCAATCAATGTCTTACGAAAATGCTGATTGAAGTCATAACCAAATAATGACTGAGTTTGTAAACAAAAGCTGCCGCTGGCTCAAATTTATAAGTTTTGATCTCGCGAGGCAGAAATACTATTGCCATACAAACAATTCAATTTAGGAAGCATCAGCTTTATTGATGTTGAAATGCAAAAAAAAAAAGTTGAAAGTGTTGCTTGATTTAATAGAAGAGCGGTGGGGAACAAGTTTATGTCTCCACCTCTCTATCGAAAGTTCGGATGTTTGTTGCCCATAATAATTTGGGATCGTTGCTTGTGGATGAGGCAACATTAGCCAGCACAGAAATTTAACCAAGCAAAACTCCATGTAGTTTTTAAACAGGGGCACAACTGTGGTTCGGTGTGATGAGCTGTACGGCTCGTATGTTGGTCATTTCCTTTCCTTCGTGGATAAATGGTCTTAACAATAAAATAAAAGGGGCTAGCAAAATCAGTGTTGGTCAATTTTGAGAAAAAAATATTTTTCGAATTAGTTTTGACTGAAAATCAAATTTAACAAACTCATTTTATAAATGACTGTAACTTCTAACGAGTAAATTAGCTAGGATACAATCTGACCTTATTTGACGGACAAAATTTTTGAACACTCCGATATAGAAGAATACCATCACAGCCACTGGTACTAAGCACTCCACGACAGCCAGAGATGTGAAGTAGACAGATTTCCAGGTCGGATCCCATGAGCTGCCGCAATGGAGAACAGTTATGTTCCTAGGGGAATCAGGGTCTGCTCTTAGATCTGGATAGGTACCCTCTTTTGCATCAGTGAAAATTGCAATGGGCGCTGAAACATCAGAATTTGATGTCAAAAACGATAAGTTATATTACCGAACTGTTTCATTAATATTTTAATTTTACAATCAGCGAACTAAATTTTTGGTAACTATTAAATAAAAAACCTGAAAGTCATGCAAGCTTCCGTAAAAACCACGTTAAAAAGATTATGATGAATTTACTCAACTCATGTGATAATAATTCATATCCTTTCTATAATTGACACTGTTGATACTTGGTATGTCGGTTAGCTCGTAAAATTCAATAACTTTATTCCAAGCTCTATAGAAAAACAAACAGAATAATTGTTCTGGGTGTGATATTTTCTCCAGAGAAATTTCATATTTTTAATTCGTCATTTTTGACGGGATTTTCTTAAATCATCCTAAACTCGCTGAACTATTGATACCTTAAACTCAGAAACAAAAGATTTTTTTATTACAAGGCCAAAATGTGCACTGTCGGAACGATCAAAGAAAATGAAAAAACAAAGGGAGCATCCTTGTTGCGGATTCCGCTTAAATTTCCTAAAAAGCACAGTTTGGCCTCGTAATGTTACCTGTTAGGAAGTTCGGCAAAGTTATGAGGGCATAAAAACTGTGTTTTTGACCAAATTATGATAACTGATAAGCAAAACATATCGCAGTAATAACATTTGAGCGGCGTTTAAAACGGCTCGAAAACTCTTAAGAATATGTTAGAATAGACAATAGAGACATGTTAGTTGTCTCTATTCGAAAAACAGGACAAACTATGTGTGGTTTTTTCTCCAAGCCAGTTTAGAAAATCTTCAAAAATTTCAATTTTTAATTAGCCATTTTTTACAGCGAATTTTTTTTTTCAAACGCTCTGACAGGTAATGATGTTTTGAGCTCAAATCATTAAACATAAATATTTGATCTGTGATAAATTTTGTTAAGATTTTAAAAGTTCCAGTTTGGGCAAGTTGGGTCAAGCAGCAGGTAATGTTGTTTCGTTCTATAACGAGTGAGCGGCGGTTTGGAGTTTGGTTTAAATTGTTGAGACAGGCTACTTGCCAAAACTAACGTTATGAAAATTGCTAAGCAAGTTTTTTTTATCTTTTTCATGTACAAAAATTAATCATTATTGTCAATTGAAAATTATTTTGAAGACGTTATAAAGCAGTCGGATCGATCAGGGGTTTGCCCTGATACAATTAGTCTTGTTCGTTTTTTCTGCTCATATACCTATTAAGCTCATTGACCAGTCTCAGTTTTTCTCATAGTTGTATTATTCTTTTAATTATATTTAAAAAAATACACGGCTAATCGGCCAACTGATTGAACACGCGGCTAGATTGTTCTAGTTAAATGAAGAAGATACTTGAGATTCAAAAAATTTTCAAATAAAATGTAGGCTTGCTGTTTTGTCTATTTCTGATATTTGGTCTAATGTTTTCTAATCTTCAAAGTATAGCTATCTGTACTTTACATACCATGTGAGGATTAAAACATTTTTTTGTTATTGATAAGTTTAACTTTTGTAAATCAAACACTACTCCATAAAGACAGTCAAAACATTCAGAGCTTTGCCCCGATACAAACATATTTGTGTTTTTGTGCTTGTTTTACAGTCTGATATTCGATTTGCGTATCTGACATTATCGAAATAACCTTTTGTCACGTTTGTTTTCAGAGAAAATCAGATGAACCAATGGCTCTCTTTAATTTCATTTTTAGGCAGTTTTTGAGCTCTTAAAGGCCCTTTAAGCGCAAAACTTGAAAAATAAGTAGGATCATATTAAGTATTCTCTCCCTTGGCACCTAGTTACGATCGCCATTACGCTAACGAACTAATTCATTGGTTAAATATATGTAAATTTCGCAAAAAAAGGATACCTACCTGGATAAAGTAGGCACAACTTGATTATCTACTCGACCATAACTTTTTTCAAAAGTTAGTTTATAAAAAATTGTGGCAAATATCAAAGAGCATCAACTGAAAAAAAAAAGTTTTTTATTAAAGAGGCAGGCAACCATAATCTCAAGTCCTTTTTCAATTGCAAATTTATATAACAAGATCAAACAGATAAATTAGAGGGCTTACCAGAAATGACACAGCCCACTAGCCACACAAAAGCTAGTATGAATGCATTTTTGTTCTGAAAGGTGGAGTTGTAGGTGTATGGACTGTTCATGGCCTGATATCTCTCGTGGCTCATCATCACAATCAACCATGCACTCACATGCTGAGAAAGCACGTCCAGGAAAAACTTTGGCCTGTAAAAAGAAAAAGAATTACTTGAAGTCTGACATTTTTCTTTCATAGGCTATATACAAGAAACCTTTAAAAAAAACATTTTTTGCTCATTCTAAAACAAATTAATAAAATATTCATTAGGTTCGTGCGACGATCTTGTCCACTTTCTAAACTACATATATCGAATCTCCGAAGAGCTTACTTCAATTGTTCGTTTATTCTTTGATGAACACATAGAAACTTTGTTTTAGAAACAATAGTACTTGACATCTTTGAGTAATGTTAAGCAATCACGATCAAATTGAAAAGGCTATACTCAAGGAAACTGCTTTGAAAACAAAATTGATCCGAATTTTTTTTATCAAAACAAAATCCAAAAATTATATCATCCAATTTTTTTTGTTCAATTTTTTCTTCATCTACTGTTCACTTTGATGTTAATTTGAAAAATCCATCAACTTTTTCAGGAGTGTACATTCTTTTTCTACATTTTAGTTTGCGACAATAGCGATTGTTGGAAAACAAAAAGCATAAACAAAATTAAAAAGTCATGGTCAGAAAAATTTTAATCCAAAGTACTGGTAATAAGAAATCCCACGCATCCTCAAGTGGGCAAATTGTAACTGTAATTTAAAAAATGTTTCAAGCAAAAGAATTTTCAAAATAAATTTAGAAAAAATTTCACTCACTTGCAAAGATAAGGTGAAATGATTCGGCCCAAGAACTGTTCGGTGCTCATTATTCCGAGAACAGCGAGATAGATGATATCCGACACCGCCAGACTGATCAAAGTATGCGTCACAATATGTTTCTTAATCTTGGACCACTGACGTCGCATGATTGCCACCGCTGAAATGTTGGCTACCAACCCGAACGCAAAAAGGAGTGGCATCAGAATTCTCGTGAACAGCATGTTTTTGCTTCAATGTGGATTAGTCTCGGAACTAACTTTCATACGTCCAAACTTCTGAAAACTTTTTTTATTAGCAACCAAAACATTAAATTAACAAAATAAGCAATAAAATAAAAAACCAATTTCTCGATAGATTAAGAACACTTTAAAGGAAAATAAAATAACTTATTTAAATAGAAAGTTCAATTGATTGGCACCATATGAGAAATGAATGTATATTTTTACTTGATACGTTTTCTACAAATTAGTTTGTTTTAAGCGTTGTAGTGATTTTGCCAGACAGTTTTCTTTTCTAATCTGAAAATTTGTTAAGAAAAACAGTGCTTTTAATTGCCTTTTTGCGATAAACACAGCCCACTAAAAAAAAACTAAAAACGTTTCGACGATAACACAAAAAGGTCGACTAAGTAGTATTATAATGCAATATCTGTAATTGGAAAAAATAAATTTTTTTTAGAAAGCTAATGCGCGTAGTTCCCCATAAACCACTAGTCTTCGCATTCTACGCATTCTACTTTTTTCTCAGCAATACTGGAAACCTTCATTTTCTCAAATGTATGTTCTCATTTTGGCACTAAGTTTGGGAGAAAAACTTCAACAAGTTATGGCAAAAATTGCAATTTCAAAGGAAAACATCTAGGCAATACATTTCCTAGATTTCTGAAATTGATTTCAAATTCAGTCAAATCATTAACTTACACTTTTTGAGAAACGCTTCAGGTGTTATCAAAAGTTTTTTTGCATGTTTAAACTTATCGTTCGTATAAAAAAAGTAAGAATATTTGGCTAGAAGTTGTCTGACAATACTCAAAGACTTATATTGGATAGCTCGTGGCTGGTGGAAGTTAACACCTTAAAAGAAGTCTAATATCACTTGAGTTCAACACTTAAATCAAAATCCCGGACAAAAAATACCAGACCATCTAAATTACCATTCAGTTTTGAAACTCACGATTGGGGTCATTTTTGTTAGGTTAAAGAGACTGTTATTATGAAATAATCTAATAAACTATTGCGGTCATTTTTTATGAAGGTCCAGTTTGTGTCAAAATCTTAAAACGAAACTTTGTTGAAGAAAAAACAATTCATAGCCATCTCCTTATAGTTTTGATACTGAAGGCGCTAAATAACATTCCACAACCAGCTTTGACGGCTAAAAAGTGTACAAACTTTATTCAAGAAGTTTTTGCTCCAATCTCTCGGTTCGCTAGCTCTATATTCGAGTAAATTGATATAAAATTTATGAGCATTACGCGGCCAAATTTTGCATTTTGTGCATTGTGAGAGGATTCCGCAACAAGCCAAAATTAGATTTGGCGCGGAATTCGCGGCATTGCAATTTTCATTTGATCTTCTTTGCTGTTTTGCTCAGAATTGTGTTGCTCAGAATCGCTCCAAAATCAGGCAAATTTGCTGAATTCGCAACAAAGTTTTTGGAATCTGCAAAACAAATTGCGAAATTCGGAACAGTTTGGGGAGTCCACAAACAAAAAATAACACGTGTGTCAAGTAAACTTGAGCTGACCAGGAATCCGCAACTGTAAATTGAATCCGCAAATTGTAAGCAGAATCCGCAATTTGCAAAATGTAACGGATTCTGCAAATTGTAAGCGGAATCAGCAAATTGTATGCGGAATCCGCATAAATTTGCGGAATTCACTTACATTTGCGGATTCTGCTTCCATTTGCAGAATCTGGAACATCTACCTATATTCGCTCGTTGCTGATTCCGCGACAAAAACAACGTGTCGACAAAAATTACATTACAGGTTTTTGTGCTTGGAATCCACGGAAGTTTTGCAAGTGGAACCCACTTACATTTTGGAACATGTTTAAAGACTTGTTTCAGGAACCCAGGAACAAACAGACACAAAATGGATGGCCTATCTTGTGCACAGTTGGGCCTCGTAGTGAAATTATATTAATCGATCACTAGTTTTTTTTTCGAACCTGATTAAGCGTTGAAATGAAATTGAACTCAAAACTACGAAAAACTGAAACAAGGCTTATAAACAATACAAAACAATGCTAACTATTGCTCCAAGTTAAGAACCTCGGAAAATTATCCCAGTTGCAAATTGAATTTAGGAAATTAGGAAGTACAACAAAACACAGAAGTTTGGATCTTGACAACGAAGAAATGGATATCGTGGACACGATTAGACAACTATGCAATAGTAGCAAAAAGCAGCAAATCAAACTTCAGCTCTGATTGAATTGTTCAATCTATCATCATCCTACAGCGTGTTAATTTTTGAATGCGCGCTATCCTAAGGTATCAATATACCAAAAAAAACTCCTTTTTAAAGATTTCAGAAAATATATTCAAGGATTTTTGTTTTTGTTATGTGTTTCGTTTTTCTTCTCTTGAGTTCAACCAATCAGAAACACGCATTTCAGTTCTGTTTTTTTCAAGTCACCCAATAAAAATATTTTTTTTATAAACTAAACTTCTATTTTTTTATCGGCTTTCGAAGAGAGAAAGAATAATGTATACTTGAGTTAGTTAATTTTCTTCAAAACAAATTCAGCATTTCAATTAAAAATGTTGAAGTAAAAATTTATATCCCAATAAAGACCGACCCCTGAAAATAAATCTAAAATTCTGTTTCATTTAATCTGTTTCATCTATTCTTTTAGCGGTTTGAAAAATGCCAATTTAGCAAATTTCTGGACTATGTTATGCGCTCTCGAAAGGTCTCAAAATGATTTTAAAGCCTTCAGCAAAAAATTTATGAGCGGAGAACTATCCACACAAAATTGTTTGAAATTGAAATAATACAGTTAACTATTCATGTTATTCCCTAAAAGGTTTAAATTTTGTATCTTACTTTTTCGTATTGAATGAAATTTACAGGTCAATTGGAGTATTCAGTTTTTGGTCTTTTATACAAACAATCTTTTCTAACTTTGTTCTTTTTCATTTCTGAGAATCATTAATTCGGTTTCTAAGAAAAAGGAATGATAATCCAATTTTCCTTTGAGAAGCTATTGCTCGATCAAATGGATACAAATACAAAAATTACATCAAAAAGGCGGTAGATTTGTTTATTTTCTTGTACTAAATATGTCCCAGATGCGGAATAACAATATAGTAAAAGAAGTTTCAGGAGATAACATCTACTAAAATTTAAAAAATTTAAACTTAAATTCAAGCATATATTCTAAGCAGAAGCTCAAAGAAGGCAATTTTATTTTAACTATCTGTTTGGCCAAATATGATGATTCCATCTTTTAAGTGGAACTAAACAAAATTAACTTGCTGAGCTAAAAATGATCAATCAAAATTCCAAGATTTCGAAAACTAAAAATCTCGCGTAAAAAATGAGTTTTTATACCACTGGGATTGAACAAAACACTGATGTGTGCATCATTTTGCACAAATGCATTTCTTCAATCCTATGTTGAAAATTGGACCCAACACTACCTTTCAAAAAACCAATTGGAAACTGTATTGACCGCTTCATAAAGTTAAGTTTTGCCAGGCTCAAACGATTAATTGTTTATGCAAAAAATTTGAAAAACAAATTTCAAAACGGTTTAAAAAGAAAGTAATGAAAAAATACAACGGTCACAGGTCAAAAAACAGATTAAGCAATTGCACAAATGAATAGTCAAATATTTTTTAAAATGACGTGTCCCTTTTTTCAAAGAATTACGCCAAAATAATCGCTGCAAGTTATTCTTTTGTGTGTTTTGAAGTATAATTTATAATGAGTGAACAAAGCTGAATCGGTCAGTTTTTTTGAATTAGAAAACAGAAAAAAAGTAAACGATAGAAGCGGGGAAATGTTTTAGTTAAATTTTTATCAGTTTCATTTCTACAATTTAAGAGACAGCAACAGCTCCAAATTTTCTCATAGAAGCCTCAAGTGAGGCAAGAAAAACAAGAAATCAAAAAAATCTTTTTTATGAAAACAAAAGATTAAAAATGGATAAAAACGTTCTTCTACTTTGGTATATGTTATTAATAAACTAAGACAAGCGAAAAATACAGAAATGAACTCTTTGGGTTCATTACAGGAAAACCAAATTTTAAGTTTATTCAAATCTGCCAAAAACTGCTTAAGAACAAATTCTTACAATTTTTTGAAGAGAAAGTATAAAAACATAGATATTGGCAGAAAAATTGAAAAATAGTATGTGTTTTTTTCTGCATTCTTCAACATAAACAAACTGCTCCAACAAAAATGTGTCGTATTTTTTTGCATCTGGACCATTACTGGTGACTTCCTCATGCGCAAAGGAACAGATACACAAAAGAGTTTTGGCCCATCAAAAGTCTTTTATTATGTATTTAAAGGAATTGAGCAATAAAAATCAGTCAGTGCACAGCCAGACAGTAGAAATGGCCTTCAATAGGTTGAATTGTTTTGTGGATTGGGTCCTTTCAAAGTCCGAAAAAACCCCCAACAATTCCTGGAGCAATAAAAAAACTTTCCTGAAATTAATTTAAACTTCAACTGAACCACAAAATGCCCTCTATATTTTTACAGTTCCAAAATGAAATATGTAAACGGACCCAAACTTTCCCTCGTTTCTAAAACCGAGTTCACAAACTTTTGAATGGAGAGCTCAATCTTTGAAACGTTGAAACAAATGACTAGGTACAATGTAACTCGATGTTATTGAATCGACAAGATACTAAGCGAAAGCAAAATATTTGGCCAAGTCACAAAACCTGGTAGAGAAAATTCATAATATCCAATGTTTTGACCGAAAATTGAAGGTTTGTCCAATCATAGAAAGCCGTGAGAAATATTAAATTTAGGTTTTTTGCTCAAAAAATCAGGTGCCAGTTTTAAACTTTAATTTACAATTCTTCAAGGGTTAATCAATGAATTAGTGTAACATCTGAACTAATTCTTCAATTCTGACATGAAATACTTAACTTCTGATCTAAATATCTGGCCACAAATTTTTTTTTGAAATTTTTAAATAAAGTAGATTAAGTTTAAAATTTTAATCTTTCATCTTGTTTTTGATCAGAAATGTGCTAAGTTTAGGCTATTTCAAACTAGAAAAGATCTCTTGTTAGGTCTCAAAATCCCGAC